CTACTCCTGTGCTAAGAGCTGAAATTGACCAAAGTTGACTGCAATTTACCATCCAAACCTTCTCCTGAGCCCTTCAACAGCCTGCAGAGTTCCACAGTGGCCGCATCAGACGCTTCTACTGCATTTGCTGTCTAGGTGGGAGGTAGATTCCTGGTGCTTCCTGCTCCACAAGTGTCCCAGAATTTTTTAAGCTGGGTAGTGACTACACACTTTATTTATTGTTACTTAGCAATTGTTACATGTATACATATACATATATGTGTGTGGGTGTATATATATATATAAATGTATCGACATATATACTTAAATAAATAGAAATATATAGATTTACATAAGCATATGTAAATCTATAAGTGTATTTAAATCTATATATTTCTGTTCTTTGAAATATGTTTTAATGACAAAAACTGAACAAAATTAAAATTCTAAAAACTAGGTTTTAAAAGGACTAGTGATCTGTAATAGAAAGGACTAGAGGAAGGGGTGATTGTCATAGAACAACTCCAAGGTCCTTGGATGTTTTTAAGAAAGAAAGTAGAGATTTTAAATTCAGTGCCTTGTTAAGTACGGTTATTTGAAATTTAAATGTTTAAGCACTAAAAGAGTAGAAATAGGATATAGAGTCAAAAGGGGAAATAAGGAAACTTAGCAAATCGAATTGACAGCAGAATGAAGGGGGGATGGAGAACAAAAGCATGGTAGATAGTAAGCACTGTTCAAAACAGATAACAAAACGTTCAGAATGTACAGCCCCCATCGTAGGCATAAGCACACTGAGCTCACTGGACAAGACCCAAGCTCTCCACATGGGTGGCTAGAAGCGCTGTGTACAGCCCAGCCGAGTGGCTCGGTTGGTTGATCATTGTTCTGTGCACCGAAGGGTCACCAGTTTGATCCCTGGTCAGGGCACATGCCTGGGCCGCAGGTTCGATCCCCATGGGGCACATAAAGAAGGCGGCTAATTGTTGTTTCTCTTCTCTTCTCTTCTCTTCTCTTCTCTTCTATCTCCCTCCCTCCCTCCCCTTCCCTCTCTCTCTAAAAATCAATAAAAACATATGTTTGGGTGAGGGTTAAAAAAATAGCTGTGTATAGCCTATTTACAAGAGTTACAGTGAAAAATATGAGAATGAAAAAACTGCACATGATGGGATACAAACAGATATATACCCCCCAAAAAAGAATATAGGAAAATACTGGTCTCGCAGCAAAAAGCATGTTTCAGGATAATGAGAATAACTACAAAATAGAAGGAAAGTCCACGTTTCTGAACTCGGATGCTTTGGATATAAAACTGGACAGTGTACAAAGCAAAACTCGCTGGAGTCACAAGGAAAACGAATGAATCAGACATTTGCCAGGATCCTTTCAGCTGCTCTCATGAGCGGGCAGATCAAAGCCGCAGGCACTAACGCACAAATTACAAGTCCAGGCGCTGCACAGAAGTGCTCCCTGCAGGACACCAGGCGGGGAGTCAGTGCCGGGCGGGAGGCGGCGTCTGCAGCATGCACACGTGTCAGAAGATTGGTTTCCAATAAATAACAGCTTCTGCAGACTCTGAGCTGGTCCAGCAGCCCGGTAGCCAAACGGGCAACCAACGAGACGCAGAGCGCACAGAGGACAAGGCCCAGGGCAGACGGGTCTGGGAATGGACCAGCCTCTCTCATGATTATGGGCTCCGTTGTGTCCCCTCAAAATTCATATGTTGAGGTCCCAACCCCCAGGACCTCAGATCGCAACTATGTTTGGAGAGCAGTTCTCTAAAGAAACAATGAAGGGTGCCCTGGCTGGTGTTGCTCAATAGTTAGGGCATCGGCCCGAGGACCTGAGGGTCACAGGTTTGATTCCTGGTCAAGGGCAGTACCTGGGTTGCAGGTTCAATCCCCAGCCCCAGTTGGGGTGCATGTGGGAGGCAACCGATCAATGTGTCTCTCACATCAATGTTTCTCTCTTTCTCTTTCTCTCTCTTCCCCCTGCCCTTCCACTCTCTCAAAAAATTAATGGAAAAAATATCCTCAGGTGAGGATTAACGAAAACAATTTTTAAATAAAAAATTTTTTTAAAGAAACAGTTAAGGTTTTATTAGGGCCACCATGGGGCCCTAACCCCAGCTGATTGGTGTCCTAAGAAGAGGACGTTAGGACACAGGCGCACACAGAGGGACGGTGTGTGCGGGCACAGCGGGGAGGCGGCATCCACAAGTCGAGGAGAGGCCTCAGGAGGAACCACCCTGCTGACATCTTGGCCTCAGACCCTGAATCCGAGGCTGGTCCCGTCTCTCCCTTTGCTGCGCGTGCCGGGGATGCCAGAGTCACGGCGTGGCCTGTGCCGGGAAGCTCGCAAGATCTTTGGCATGAATTGGACTACTTTCTCCTGCTTCCATTTTCCTGAGTTCCTTTTTTATTTTTGACCTAATCTGTGGCTCCCATGTTTTCAATTTTATTGCGTTACTAGAGGCCCCGTGCACGAAATTCCTGCACTGGTAGCGTCCCTAGCAGCTTCCGGCTGGGTACTCACTCCCTTCCCCCCGCCGGCCCCGCCCCCTGGTTGAACTCCCGGACGACCTCCTGGTTGAAGGGACAATTTGCATACTACGCTTTTATTATATAGGATATGCATTTTGCAAGTCATGTTTAATTTTTCTTGGAACAAGTTAATAAATTAATGTTTTTTATTTGTTTTATTTTTATGTTTTTAAATATATTTTTTACTGATTTCAGAGAGGAAGGGAGAAGGAGAGAGATGGAAACATCAGTGATGAGAGAGAGTCATTGATTGGTTGCCTCCTGCACGATCCGGGATCCAGCCTGCAACTCGGTCATATGCCCCGACCAGAAATCGAACTGTGACCTCCTGGTTCATAGGTCAACACTCAACCACTGAGCCACCACAGCTGGGCAGTTAATGTGTTTTAAAAGCAGACATTGGGTCCTTCGTGCTGGTCTGTGTCAGCATCCAGGCCCGGATCAATGCCTTTCCAGCTCCCGAGGTCTGCGCTCCTCACGGTGAGCCTCCTCACCCAGCCCCCCACGCCAGCGCTCCAGGCAGAGCGGAGGTTTCTCACGGTGACCCTGCCCTTCCAGGACCGCGTGCAGCCGGGAACGTGATGATAACTGCGAATGGAGCCGTGGCACCAAGCCGGGGGCCAGCGCAAGCTTCAGCGAGAAACGAGAGGCGTTTTCTGTCCCCCGATAATAGCATCGAGTCTCTGGGGATGAATGCAGCCCGTGGCCCGGGCGGAAAGTGGGGGTGCAGCAGGAAGCAGCCGAGCCGGGCTGCGGCGCTCATCATTGCTCTTTGCATCTGGCCTTCCTCTTCAGCATGCATCCCGGCCTGCTCCCCTGAGAGCTCCCTGCACTCAGCGCTCAGCTG